CCTGGGCTCCCTTCCCTCCCCTTTGCCTTCCACAGCTCTCGGTGCTGGGCAGGGATGAAGGCAGGAGCTGGGTGCTGGGATGGGAGGCTGAGCCAGGGGCGGAGGAGGAGGAGGAGGAGGAGGAGGGAGGGGAGGAAGGGGAGGGAGAGGGGGAGGATCTGCTAATTACACAGAACAGCTCTGGGGGCTGCTGAAGTCCAGAATGAAGCAAAGAGCAGCAGAAGCAAGTGCTGCAGTGGGAGCGGAGGAGCCCAAGCATCACCAAGAGCTGGAGCTGGCTGTCGTCCCTGCTGGGAGCAACTGGGGACACCCAGGGGACCCTGCAGCCCCGTCCCCCTCACCCAGGGACAGCCTCTGGCACAGCCACCGAGCCTGCTGCTGGCTCCTCCGCAGCCAGCCCCGGGTGAGGAGAGGGGAAGGGGTTGGTGGTCCTGGGGATGCAGGGTTAAACTCAGCCCTCCTGCAAGCTGGGCTGGAGGGCAGCGGAGTCAGCCCTGCCATGGTCCCGGGGGGCTAGGAGCCCCAGCAGATCCACTGGGAAGGGGTGAAGGATGGCTGCTGAAGGAGGGAGAGCCAAGCCCGTCACCCAGTCCAGGATGGAGAACTTCCGAAAGGTGAGGACATCGGAGGAGGAGAGCCCGTTGCCCTTCCCCGACCTGCCCCCAGACGTGGTGGAGATGAAAGTGAAGGAGGGCAGCAAGATCAGGAACCTGATGAACTTCGCCATGGCCCAGATGGAGCTGAAGGGCAGCCGGCAGATCGTCTTCAGCGGTTGCGGCAGAGCAGTCACCAAAACCATCACCTGCGTGGAGATCATGAAGCGGAAGCTGGGAGGTCTTCACCAGGTCACCAAGGTACGCTACAAAACCGTGCTGGAAGTCTGGGAGAACCAGGACCCGCTGCCCGGTGGCCCGGCGCAGAACCTGACCGTCCACAAGAACGTCCCCTCCATCTGCATCCTGCTCTCCCGAGACCCCCTGGATCCCAACCAGGCAGGCTACCAGCCCCCGGAGCCCCGGCACGGGCTGGGGACGCAGCTCGGCGAGGCACGAGAAGACACATCAGGCTCCTCCACCAAGGGGCTGAAGCGGCCCCTGCCACCTCCCCATGAGGAGCTGCTGACCAAGAAGTTGCAGGTACAGGTACCTGACAGCCCGAGGGGCTCAGGGACCACCGACCACCAGCTGACCACCACCACTGACCCCACCACCTCCCACCCTGACCAGCCGTACGCTGAGTATATAGGCAGGAATATGCCCTCTATATAGGCAGGAGATTGTATGCTGGAGAAACTCCGGGGGGTTTTCAGCTGCTTTGCTGTGGATAAAGGCAGTGCGAAGCCGGTGTCATGCTTGCTCTGGGGTCACCGCTGTGCTGTAGGCTCCCCCCAACTTGTCCCCACTCATTGCTGCTGCTCCAGCTGACTCCCGTGCATGGGGGCTTGCTGCTAGGGGGGCACCTTGTCCCCAGATTTGGGGTGGGGGTTAAAGGGTTAAACCTACTAACTCTTGGTTATGGACTGAAGCCGGGGAAGATGTGTTGGGGGGAGCTGGTGACCCCACATTTGGCCACCCAGGGGCAAGGCCAGCACCAGCCACATTTCTGCAGTGACTCCCACGGAGCCAGAGCACCCGTTGCTTTCACTGAGGGGTGCCCGGACTGGGGAAGGCGGCTGCACATCATCGCTCCTCATTGCGGTGCCTCAGCCATCAAGAGAGACGGTTTTGCCCCAAGCTCATTGGAGTAATACCTTCATTATCAAAACCGCTGCAATTACGCCCGGCGAGGAGCTGTCAGGTTTATTAATGCTGGGTTCAGCGCCCCATGGCACCGTGATTCATCCTGAATAAAACACACAAACAAGCAGACGGGTTGCTCCTTTCCTGCGCCCACAGAGCCGAGCACGGCACTGCCTGCCTGCGGGACAGCAGAAGAAAATAAAATAACCCTTCTTCCCGCATGAGATAATCAGGTCTTTGCTCTCCCGGAGGTGTTTGTAGGGTCTGGAGCTGGGGTGAAGCCCCGATGTCGGGAGCTGGGGGCAGTGGGAGCATTAGGTGGGTTGTTGTCGTGGCTGGATGCGGTGCCTGGGGCAGGATGGGGAGGTTTTGGGGTCGTGGGCTTGGCTGCAGAGCCCTCGCTGCAGGCTGCCTCCCTGGGAAAGCCCTTTGGAGCAAAATCCCTGCTTCTTCCAGGGGGTAAAGGGAAATGGAAAATAAAAGCTTTTTAGAAATAGTTGAAATATGCCTACGGGAAAACAGGGGGATTATCTTATGCCGACCACGGCATAGATCAGCACAGCAAGGGCTGCTGCTGATCCAGGACAAGGGGATCCCAGCCAAACCTTGTCCCTTGGTGGGACAGGATCAGGGCCTCGTATGTGCCCTGGCAGCAGCCTGGTCCCCACCATCATGGCAGAGCCCGGCAAAGCCCCCGGGCCAGCCCCCACAGCGGGGACCGGAGCGATGCGGGGAGCGCAGGGGATGGGTTATGGGAGGCCAAGCAAGCCCCAATCCACCTGGTTCCCTTTGACCCGGCCCAGGCAGCCCCCGGGGGCATCACAGGATGAATTAAATTGGTATTAATGAGGGTACCCTTCCCAAAAACCAGCTGGGAGGGACGCTCTGGCTGCAGCCGTGTTATCTCCCCGACTCACTCCCGCTCTCCGGGAACGGCAACCATCCCTTCTTTTGTCAAGGGCTTGCCTGGCAAGCGCTTTGCTTGGCTGGGAGCGGGAATGAAAGGAGACCAGGGGAGCGAGGAGGAGGAGGAAGCAGGGGTCTGTTTTGTTTGGCAATGACCTTGTTATCCTCCCTCAGCAGGCAGCTGCTCCTCTGGGCCAGAAGCTCATGCTTATCTGCCCTGCTGCAGATTGATTCACTTCACTTATCTGTCGCCATGTAGTTGAATATTAATTTCCCATTGTTATTTTTTTTATGTTTATTTCTTGTGGATTTGGGGCTGGGAAACCCTTGGGCTCCATCCTACCCAGCGATCACTCTTCCCAGCTTCCTCTCTCCTGTGCAGACACCATTCAGGTTCAACCCTCTGCCCTACATGCAAGCTGGAGCACCAGGTACGGGCTTGTACCTCAAATGTACTAAAAATCATGCTAATAAATAAATCCCTCTGTAAACGCTTTGATCGGAGCCTGAAGATTGTCATGCATCTGAGAACTAACAGCCTTCACCTCCCCAACCCTGCCCCACTGCTGCTGTCTCGCATTGCTCCCAGCAAGGAGAGAGAGGGGAAAAAAAATATCACTCATTTCTCCTTATTATTCTGTTAATGCGCAAAATTATTTTTAATTGATTTTATATGCAGGCAATTTCCAATCTTGGAGGCAACAGGAACCTGGGGATTTTGCACTCCTTGCTTTGCTGGCTGTCGACCAAGGATTTCCTGCATGAGAAAATAGTTAAAAAAAACCCAAAACAGTAACCCAAAATATGAAGCATTTAAAATAGCATGATGACATCTGGCTCCACAGAGTCCTAGAGGGACATGGTGAGCAAAATTATGCTGCTGCTCTTGTGCTGCACTGCCCAGGTACAGCCCCAGGCGCCTGTGGAGAACAATTTTTGGGGCAATTTTGTAAGGCCAGCAGTGCCCTGCACAGTGGCCCGAGAGCTGGTGGCTGAGTCAGCCCTATCCTCCTGCCGGCACATGGGGCAATGGAGGCTGAAGGCAAGACCCTGTGGTCAGGGTCTACGAGGTTTGGCGACAAAGATGTGATGGAAGCTGCCTTCCCCGGTGGCAGGTCTGGCACCGGGGCAGAGCCACAGAAAGCCTTGGGAGAGCTGCTGGACACTGCAGCCAGAGCCAGGCTGGGTACCACTTTCCCCTCACTAGGAAGAAGCCAGGCCATTTTCCCTTGCCAGAGGTGGTAGCACACAGTGATCACGAGCAAGGACAGAGAAGGGCCCCCTCGCTTCCCTGTAGCCCCCATCTGCAACACGGGCGAGTCCACA